TCTCCCTTTCTCTCTCCTTCCCTCTTCATCTCTCGCTCTTTCTCTCCTTCTCTTTCCCCCCCTCTTCCTTTCTGTCTTCCTCCCCCTCCCCCTCCCATTTCCTTTCCCTCTGCCCCTTCCTCTCCCTCGGTCTGTCTGCCTCTCACTCTATCACTGACTCTGTTTCTCTCTTGCTTTTCATGTTCGGGCACCTTCTGGGACTTGTTGGAACCGCGCCCGCATTTGTCACGTGACATCGGGGCGTGTAATACAATCCTTGGCTTTGTGAGCCCAGGCTGCTAGAGCAATGTTTGTGCGTTGCGTCCTTTGTTTGCCAAGCGTCCTCCGCAATGAATCCCGTTTCGGCCAGCAGTTTCTTCTGGGACACCGCCTCCCTCACAAGAGCTACTGCTGGGGTGGGGGGGAGCCTGCCAAAGGCCCACATATATCCCCCACCCCACCCCGGCTGTTCACTGAAACACCTGTAGTCCTGCCCCCTCCCCCCACCCATTAGTGAAGATGGGGCACACTCCTCTCCCACACCCATGTTGCGGTCCCCCTCCCCTGTGTGTCAGATCCAAGAACAACAGACACAGAGGGCCGAACCTGCGGGGGCGGGGGGTAGAAGACAGTGCCTCTGAACCAGAGCAAAGTGCGTTTTCTCCCACCTGGGCGTCACCGCCCAGGATCAAAGGGCAAGGATTGCCTTGGGGGGGGGGGCGGGGTGCCTGGAATATTCCGGCTCCAGACCTTTTTGGAAAAGAAAAGTCACCTCAGTTGTTGGCTTATGGCCACTTAACAAAGAAGAAGTGGTCCAATTTCCTCCCAAGAAACCGAGAGTCCATAGCCACTTGCTTTCGCAATGCCCCCTTTCTACAGCCCCTCCCACATTTCGCTGGACCCAGGCCAGGGGTTTTCCTCACTAGGATGGGACTTTCCACGAACTGGCCAATCAAAACTCTGAAACAGGCTTGGTCACTAGTTGCCAGGCAGGGAAAGACACGCTCTCGTCCGATTCACCACTTAAGCTGCACGGCTGCCTTAAAAGTTCCATATCTCTGCGGGAGAGATTCGTTTCCCCGCACACACACACCAATGCTTTATTAAAGTTTACTGTACTATAAAATACAATAAAATTAAAGATTTTTTTCAAAAGGGCGGGCTGTGTGTCAGGATAAAAAAATGAAAAAAAGAAAAAAGGCGTTGACCCTTTTCAGTACAGCGAAAATACTAAACTACATTTGACTTTTCAATTAGTTGTTGCTAGCCATTTCTAAAACTACACAATTATTCAATCTTCAAACTAAAGTCTAATTTTTTTTTCCTATTTCAAGCCTAAAAAAGAAACAATTTCCCAGTGGAAACAGGACCGAATAGAAATCTTCTCTTTGTTTAAAAATCTTTGCGTTGCCATCCCAACCAAATCCATTTTTCTCCATCAATTTTTTTTCAGTTGTGAGGGGGAAAAAATACATTTCCATTTACACTTGTTTAATTTTCTGCACTGTCATTATCTACAGGCAGCCCTCGTCTTACAACAGTTCATTTAGCGACCATTCAAAGTTATGGCACTGAAAAAAGTGACTCCCCACTTACGAGCATTACCGCATTCCCCAGCGTCACATGATTTATATTTGGTTGCTTGCCAACTGACTCCCATTTATGACGGTTGCAATGTCCCAGGGTCATGTGATTTTTTTTGCAACCTTCTGACATGCTGTTGTGGTTCGCTGGCAGCAGGTGTGGATGGCTGAGGTCTCGGAGAGCGAGGACTCAGATGAGGGGCCTGCATGTGATGCAGGGATGGGGCCAGGACTATCAGAGAGTGGAATGCTGCCTTCGGAGATTGCGGAGACCGGCAGCAGTGATGAAGAGGCCCCCGAGGAGCCTGTGCCCAGCACGTGTGCACGCAGGGCTGCTCAAAGGGAAGAGCAGCTGCAGCAGCATGGGTGACTCAGGAGTAAGGCTGCAAAGTAATGGCCCCTCTCTTTAGAGATAAAAGCCAGCTGAGAAACCGGAGTTCTTTGCAGGAAGCAAAGAAATTTTTGCATTCAAGCCTTGTGGACATTCAGAATATCTTGATTGGTGTTTAGAGACTCTTTGCATTTGAAATATTTCTTAGTAACTTTATCTAGTGTTCTTGGTAGCCTTGCACCACCTTGGAAAGGCTCGTTCTTATCAGAGACAATTAGTTTGAAACAGCCTTTTAACCGGGAAGGAATAGAATTCGTAAAGAATCATTAAAAGGTTTTGCTGTTGCCTCTGTTTTGTGTTTGCTTCCTTGGGTCAGAACACATGCAAACTCACTGGGGAAAGCCAGATTCGCTTAACAACCGTGTTACTAATTTAATGACTGCAGTGATTCAGCTAACAAACTTGACCAGAAAAGCCATAAAATGTGGCAAAACCCACTTAAAGAATTTCTCAACATACATTTTGAGCTCAGTTGTGGTCGCACGCCGAGGACTACCTGTATAATAGCACAAATTGCCTCCAGAAGTTGTAAATGCTCCAACACTGGAAATATTTAAGAAGAGATTGGATGACCATTTGTCTGTTGCCAATCTTTTGGACCTCAGGGATCAACAAACTCATAATTTTAAAGCCCAGGGACCACTAAGCAGTTCTGTGGGTGTGGCCTAATTTTTGAGTGTGGCTTGGTGGTCATGTGACTGGCTGGGCATGGCTTGTATGTAAATATTATAAATATTTATATAAATATTCAACTTTTATATATATATAAAAGCAACTTTTACCCCAAATCAGGCAAAGCAGGCAGGCAGATTGAGTTGCTCACAGAATCACATTCAGAGATCTATCTATCTGCCATTGGCTAGCTCAGTCTGTCACATAAAATTTGCTTGCAAGCAAACTCACAAAATTAACTCACAACACCATGTATGTGAATATTGAATTTTTTTATATAAAAAAGAGCAAATGCCCAAAAGCAGGCAGGTAGATTGAGTTGCTCACAGAATCATTCAGTGATCTATCTATCTGCCATCAGCTAACTCAGTCAGTCACATAAAATTTGCTTGCCGTGAGTCTGCACTGAATAATAGAACCTTCAGTCCTAAAGGAGGTTCGGCTGTGCTTAAAAGCAGAGCCAAAGTTCTAAAGACTAGCTAGAAAGCAAGAAATCCTGCCATTTCCTGCTTCCTAGCTAAACTAAATCTCCTGGCACAGCAGAACAGCTGATGGTCAGAAAAAAAAAATAGCAATTTAACAGGCAAGTTTGCCGGGTAAGGAGTGAGTTGGTGGGGAGGGTTCCCATGGGCCATGTGGGCAGCACAGCCTTGTGTTTCTGCAAAGCCTGGATTAATTGCTTTTGGGGGGGGTGCTCTTGAGGTGAGATTTTTCTGTGGCTCACCAAAATTTTCTCATATCCCACCAGTGGGCTGCGGCCCACCGGTTGGCAACCGCTGGTCTGAAGTGATGTAGGGTTTCCTGTCGGAGCAGGGGGTTGGACTAGAAGACCTCCAAGGTCCCTTCCAACTCTGTTATTCTATTCTGTTCTAAAAATCACGATATTATTTTTTTCAAAGTTTTTCACCGACGAGCCCCGAAAGGAAAACCTTTTGTTCCGATTTTATATTCCCTTTGAAACATCCGCAGAAGAGATTCTTTTGCCGCCACGAAATCGACGGCTTCCAGGCTCCTCTGACCCTCCCTCCTCCCTTCCCCCACCCCCCAACCTACAAACCACAATCAGCATCGCTTCCCTTTCTAAAAGCAAAAAAAAAAAAAAAGGACAGGAACAGACACGCATAGTTGAGTAATATCTTTATTAGAAAGAAGAAGCATTATTAGCCAGCCTTGAAGCGTTCCGATTCTGCAAAAAAAAATTAAGGAGCTGATTTTGCAGGACAGAAATTTTTTGGGGGGAGGGGTGTATTGTGCAGAAGGAAGCACTAAGTGTGGGGGGGAAACTTCACTAATTCTACAAGGGAGCCCAAGGGAAATGGCTAAATCACTGTCCAGGGTCCTGAAAAGGGGGGTAGGGACCTCTGCCTTTGTCTACGCAAGCGGGCGTTCAAATTCTATTCAACGGGAGCAAGCAGGCCTGGGATCGCGGCTGTAATAGTGGAGGCAGTCAGAGGTTGCCTGAAGGGAGGTCTCTGACAGAGCAAGATGGGTGTGTGTGGGTGTGGGTGTGTGGGTGCCATTGAAGAGGGATCGCTCGCCCTGCCTTCCCCAACGGACAAAAGGATCCTGAATAAACCCATGCAGCTGATCAGAAAAGGGTGGAGAGAAAATGACTCAAGAGGTGGGGGATGAGCACCAGACAGGGCGCCCCTTTTAGTTAGCCTTGGTCCTGCAGGGGTGGACCAACTGCCCCCTTAAAACCAGCCTTCTCCATCGCTAGGGGCCTTTTGGAAAAAGGTCCCTGCGTTTTCACTCAATAAAGGAGAACCTTTTGTAGCTCGGGGTTGATATGAGGGGTCCTGGGTACTCTCTTGAGCTTGGGTGTTTTCTTCAAGACGTTTCATGACCCAGCTAGGTAATCGCATCGGTGCTGACAGCATTACCCAGTTCGGATCATGAAACGTCTGCAGGAAGACAGCCAAGCTCAGAGATCTCTCCCTTCTAACACCGATAATGTCAGCTATTGGGGTCATGAAATGTTTACAAGAAAACAATCAAGCTCAGAGAGCGCCGAGGACTCTCCCACGCCTCCACGCGCCTCCAAAGAAACCACTCTCACTCCAAAAAAACCCTCCTACATTTCCCTCTAGACCTAATGCTTGGAAGGCAAGCAGCCCCAGGAGCCCCTGGGAATGTTTCACTTCTGGGGCCTCCAACGAGGGCGGTGGGAAAAAAAATACTGTCAGTGGGGCAGACGGCGTCCACCCTGCTCTGGAGTCATCACGAGAGTCGGAGAAAGAAAAGTGTGCAGCACAAGTGTAAATGCAGCTCCCGGGGTTGGGGTCAGGGCGGGCAGGAGTCAAGCCTGCAATCATGGTTTACCTGGAAGGAAGAAAAGAAAGAAGGGGGGAGGTGAGAATTCTGGGTGGAGGAACCACTGGAGAGAAAGACCTGATGTATAATGCTATGCCTGTTCTCTGCGATAGAGTGGCATGGTCAGAAAGCGATAATTGGAAAATAATGGACACTGCAAATGGAGCCAAACTGGGCATCCTGGAGTGAGGAGGAGTGCCAGAGGAGTAATACCTCCTTTAAAAACCTTGCTCTAGTTGGCCAGGCTGGTAGCACCTCATAAGGGCCCCTTTCCAGGGTTACAGGAGAAGATGGTCAACAGTTTTGAAGGCAGAAGAAGGCTTTACACCCCAAACACAGATAAAACGGTAGAACCATCTTCTAGACCAGGCATCGCCAACCTTTTGGGCCTCAGGGATCACCAAACTCATAATTTAAAATCCCGTGGACCACTAGTTCTCAGGGGAAGAGGTGTGTGTGGGGGGGGGGTATTTTCCGATCGATAGGAAAACGGGGTGGGGGATTTTCCTGCAGACTTTGTGGGGGGATTTTCCCCAAAAGAGAACCTGGGTAAATCCCCCAAAAAGTCAGCAGGAAAATTCCCCACCCCGTTTTTCCTACCGATCGATTGTTCTTTATTTGAGATCGCAAGATACTGGCATTTCCAGCTCCGTTTTCAGGAGGAGAGAAAGAGGAGGGGGGGGAGAGAGAGACTTTTGGCTTTATGCAAGGAAAGCAGCAGAAGTCTTTCTTTCTCTCCTGGCGGAGTTTGGGGGAGAGAAAGACTTTTGCGGCTTTCCTTGCATGTGGCCAAAAGCAGAAGAAAGAAGCAGAAGGAAGCAGCCTGGGGGCCAGGCAAGTTCCCCCCCCCACTCTGCCCTTTCCCCCCTCCCCTCCCTATCTTGTGTGGTTTGCAATGCAAGCGACTCAAGCCTTGTGTTCCCACAGGCTATGTAAGTGGTGCAGCCTTGTTCCCGCGCAGCCTGGATTAATCGCTTTAGGGGGGTGTTCTGGGGGTGTGTGACATTTCTCTGTGGGCCAACACAATTTTCTTACGGACCACCAGCAGGCCACAGCCCACCAGGTGGCGACCACTGTTCTAGGAGAAGGGAAACTCTGGTTTCAAACCTCCACTGCCTTGTGGCTATATCTATTCTTGGAAAAGGCTTCAGGAGTCAACCAGAAGGCAAAATCCAGAGCTGGCATCCTAGAAGCAGTTTGCAATTGTGTACAATCACGTTCTGGTAAACTCCTGCGATGCAGCTGGAACTTATCCTATCAGCTCTGCCATTCCATTAGACTGTTTCAATGACATGAAGAGGGGCGAATCTGCTGTTTGGGTAACGGTGTATCCTCCATATTAAATTATCCAGGCCTCGTGCTCTGGAGAAGACATTCCAGCTTTGCATACAGCATTGAAACAACACGGGAAAACGGCAGGTACTGGTTTCATAGCACGAAGTTGCCCCGTTTGAGGACCCCTGATCTATGGGTTTTTCTTTCCCCCAAAAAATCAAAATGGAGGCCACAATCCTGCAACTGAAGCCCCCTTTCTAGTTGTAGCTGCCATTTTGATTGTTTTGACCCGTTGCAGAATCCTCTAGATGAGAGGTCTCCAACCTTGGCAACTTGAAGACTGGTGGACTTCAACTCCCAGAATTCTTGGCTGGCTGAGGAATTCTGGGAGTTGAAGTCCACAAGTCTTTAAGTTGCCAAGGTTGGAGACCCCTGCTCTAGACTGGCTCTCTTCAGACTTCAAATTGACCATGTTTGTTTGGTTTTTTAAACACACACACAAAAAAGTACGATTTGTTGAAGAAGCAACAGAGTCCGGAGAAAGAGACGCAACGTTTCACGCACCACACTCATGAAAAAAAAATCTCCCTCATGCAAAACCTAAGATGGCCACTCAGGGGCGGAACAGAGACTCCCACTGGCTGCCCCCTAGTGGCTCCCCAGGGTTTTGCAATCCAGATATCTAAACACACACACACACACACATACACACACGCTTCCTAGCTGAGCCTGGGATCTGGGCCCTGCTGTGAATTCCCTCCCCCCCCCATTGATGCCAACCTGGTGGATTCCCCCCTCCCTTGCCCTTCCCCGCCCCCCCAATGCAAAACTGGAGGGTCTGGGAACTCACAGGCGTCCACGGCGATAGTAGGCCTCTCCCATCTTCCGGCTCTTGATCATCAGGATGGTGCCAATCACAATGCCCACAAGGCCGAACGCCAGGCCCACCGCACACACCACGTTCTCAACCGTCTCCGGGAGGTGCTGTTGCATATTTTTGTCTAAGGGAAGGGGAGGAAAAAAGGGGCAAGGTGGGGAGGTTGCCATCTGGCAGGAGCACGTCCTATCCAGCAGGCGGCTGCGGGAATTCCCTGGAAGTTTCCACAGTGAGCGTTCGGTCAGCACAAATCCAATTTCAGCAAGCCACGGTAGCCTCGGGCTGCAAGGGGCTTTGGAGGTCAGAGCAGGAACCTTCAAACTTTCCCAGATAAACGGTTGATCGGCCCCTTCTTGAAACCCTCCAATGAGGGACCTCCCCCCCTCCCCCCCCCCTCATGGCTTCAAGTGGCAGACAGTTCCCCTGTTTCATCACTTTCCCCATCAGGAAATTCCTCTTTTCGTTCAAGTTTGGATCTCACCCTGTGGAGTTGCCACCCATGGCTTCTACCGTACCCGGAGAACGTCCCCTTCCCCATGTCCATCACCCCGAAGGACCCCTGCCTCTGTGGGAAGATGACACCCTATCTCCCCTCCCCTTCCTTACTTAGGCAAGAAAAACCCAAAGGACGCATACAGACTGAGTAAAACCAGGCTGAATAGCAGTAACTGTGAGAAAGATCTTGGAGTCTTAGTGGACAACCAGCTAAATAGGAGCCAGCTGTGTGCAGCAGCAGCCAAAAAAAGCCAATGCAATCCTAAGTTGTGTTAACAGAGGGGTACAATCAAAATCAAGGGAGGTACTAATACCACTTTATAAAGCCTTAGTAAGGCCACACCTAGAGTACTGCATTCAGTTTTGGTCACCATGCTATAAAAAAGATGTTGAGACTCTAGAAAAAGCGCAGAGAAGAGCAACCAGGATGATTAGGGGACTGGAGACTGAAAGATACGAAGAACGGTTACAGGAACTGGGCCTGGCTAGTCTAGTGAAGAGAAGGACCAGGGGAGACAGGAAAGCAGTCTTCCAAAATTTGAGGGGCTGCCACAGAGAGGAGGAGGGGATCAAGCTATTCTCCAAAGCACCTGAAGGCCAGACAAGGAATAATGGATGGAAACTGAACAAGGAGAGATTCAACCTGGAAATTAGGAGAAACTTTCTGACAGTGAGAACAATCAACCCATGGAACAGAAGTTGCCCTCGGAAGTTGTGGGAGCGCCATCACTTGAGACTTTCAAGAAGACATTGGACTGTCATTTGCCAGAAATGGTGTAGGGTCTCTCGCTTGGGTGAGGGGGTTGGACTAGATGACCTACAAGGTCCCTTCCAACTCTGATTATCTGTTATCCTTCTCTCCTTCAGACCAAAGATCCTCAATAGGATATGACCCCAGGCCTCTCCTACCTTTGTCCCTCTTTGCTGCCTCTTTAAGGTGTGTGTGTGTGTGTGTGTGTGTGAGAGAGAGAGAGAGAGAGAGAGAGAGAGAGAATCTCCCATCTATTGAGCACCTGAAGCCCCACCTGGATGGTCACTCTGGATGGGCAACTGTGGGGCAGACGGGCGCGAGGAAGGCAACCTTGGGAGTGAGCTTTTCCAAGGGGACACTCTCCCCTTTTCAAATTGTCTTAGATACATGGGACCCCCGACCCCAAAAGTTTGCTCTCCATCCCCCCTCCCCCCATGTTCTGCTTACCCCAAATCTTGCCCAGGGGCTCCGTGAGGCCCCAATGTTCCACCTGGCATATGTAGTCGTCATCCATGTTTGGGACGAAGGGCAGGTAGGAGAACCGGCGGAAGGCGTGGTCCTTCTTGGGGTAGTAATCCGTGGTCTGCACCCCTTCGGTCACCCGATGGCCGTTCTTGAACCAGGCCATTTTCAGCACCGGCGGAGAGAAGTTGTCCGCCATGCAGATCAGTATGTTGGGCTCCCCCATTTCCGCCGCCTTCTCCGGGTACAGCATCAATTTTGGAGGCACTGCGGGGGGAAAGTGAGGAAAGGGGGCTTCAATTGGGATGTGGGGGTGGGGTACTTTGACTTCCTACAACCCTTGGAGGAAAAAGACCATCCTTCAATGATGGGAAGGTCCTCGAGGAGAAGTCTGAAGGACATCTGGCTGGGATCAGAAGTCCACTTCTTGGCCCAGGGAATGGTTAGGGGCAGGGAGAGAGAAGACTGGGGTTTGGACCAGGCCAATCAATCAATCGATCGATCAGAATAGAACTGGAAACAGGAGATTTTCTGGTTCAAGTCCCTGCTCAAACAGGAGACCCTAGACCGCATCAGGTCAGAGGGTCCCCACATGGCATCAAGATTAATATTGGTTTGTTTGTTTGTTTTATGCTGCCCTTCTTTTCCTCCAAGATTATTCTGGCTGCTTCCGATGCTCAAGAGGAGGAAGGATGCTTGAGGAAATGCCTCACAAGTTGGTTGCGGTTTTGTTTGAAAGTATCCCCCTCTTCCTCCCACCTCCCCTGTTAAGAATAATCTAGGCAAGCAAGAAGGCTCAAGAGGGCAGAAACGAAGCAGTCAAGTCAAATCTCGATTAAGGTCGTAGACCAGCATAAAAAGGGTGGAATTGCAATACAGCAATTGTAGGGGAGAGAGAGGGGGAGAGAGGGAGGGAGGGAGGAGAGAGAGGGGGGAGAGGGGGAGAGAGGAGGAGAAAGAGAGGGGAGAGAGAGGTAGAGAGGAAAGACAGCAACAGAGAAGACAGAGAAGATAAAAGAGAGAGAGGAGAGACAAATGAGAGAGAGGAGACAGAGGAGAGAAAGTGAGAGAGTGAGAGCGGAAAGAGAGAAGAGAGAGGGGAAAGAGATGAAAGAGAGAGAAGAGAGAGAAGGGGAGAGTGTGAGAAAGGAAAGAGAGAAGAGAGAGAGGAGAGAGTGAGAGAGGAAAGAGAGAATAGAAAGAGAGAGAAGAGAGAAGGGGAGAGAGAGTGAGAGAGGAGAGAACAGAGAGAAAAGAGAGAGTGAAATGGGAAAGAGAGAAGAGAGAGAGAGGAGAGGGTGAGAGAGGAAAGAGAGAGAAGGAGAGAGAAGAGGGAGAGGAGAGGGGGAGAGAGGAAAGAGAATAGAAAGAGAGAGAAGAGAGAAGGGGAGAGACAGTGAGAGAGGAGAGAAGAGAGAGAGGGGAGAGGGTGAGAGAGGAAAGAGAGAATAGAAAGCGAGAGAAGAGAGAAGGGGAAAGAGAGTGAGAGAGGAAAGAGAGAAGAGAGAGAGAGAGAAGAGGGTGCGAGGAAAGAAGAATAGAAAGAGAGAAGAGAGAGAGAGGGGAGAGGGTGAAAGAGGAAAGAGAGAATAGAAAGAGAGAGAAGAGAGAAAGGGAAAGAGAGTGAGAGAGGAAAGAGAGAAAAGAGAGAGAGAGAAGAGGGTGCGAGGAAAGAGAATAGAAAGAGAGAGAAGAGAGAGGGGGGAGAGGGTGAGAGAGGAAAGAGAGAATAGAAAGTGAGAGAAGAGGGGGGGAGAGAGAGTGAGAGAGGAAAGAGAGAAGAGAGAGAGAAGAGAGGGTGAGAGAGGAAAGAGAGAAGGGGAAAGAGAGAAGAGAGAGAAAAGAGAGAAGAGAGAGAGAAAAGAGAGTGAGAGAGGAAAGAGAGAGAAGAGAGAGTTACACGGAGGGCAAAACGGAGAGGCTGAACCCCCTCGCCCCCACCCCCTGCCTTCATCAGTTGCGTTCATGGGGAAGCATCTTCCAGGGATCCATCTGGTGCAACCTTCCCTCTTCCCAAATATCCTCCGGATTTCAGGTGGGCTCACCCAGGGGGAGCAGCAAGAGAGTGGGAGGGAGAGGGTTGAAAGAGCCCAGAAGGCAGGCAGCTCCTCCCGTGAAAGGAAAGCTGAGGCTTCCACAACTCCAGAGTCGTTTCCCCCATCTTGACTTTTTCAAATTCCCCTCCCAAGGATGCCAATCGGGGCGTGGGACAAGGAGGAAGGAAGAGAAGAGAGAGAGAGATAGGGAAACCCCCTCTCCCCGTCCCTCTCACCATTAACGGCGGGCGTGTAGTTGGATCTCTTCATCAGGATGTCCAAGTTGGTCTGCAAGACGGCGATGTTCCCTTGGGCGCCCTCGGCTTGGAAGCTGGTGAAGCGGCCAAACTCGGGCAGGCGCCAGATGGTCTCCCTCTGCTCCAGGTCCACGTGGAAAATCTCATCGTCGTTGAATTCGAACATGAACTCAGAGCTGCTGCTGGTGTTCCAGCGCGTCTTCTGGACAAAAGCCACCTGGGACAACATCTCCACGCCAGGGTCAGTGATTTCCTGGGCTGAAAACAGGAGGAAGGGAGGGAGGGAGGGAGCGAGCGATCAGAAATGGTCAAGAGAGGAGCCCTCCCTCCCTCCCTCCTTGTAGATCAGAGGTCTCCAAACTTGGCAACCTTAAGACTTGTGGACTTCAATTCCCAGAATTCTCCAGCCAGCATAGTTTACTCTCTTGTAATCCCTTCCTCTGCAATCTCTCTTAAGAGATTAAGAGAGAGGAAAAAGCAGGCATAGCTGGCTGGAGAATTCTGGGAGTTGAAGTCCACAAGTCTTAAAGTTGCCAAGTTTGGGGGATCCCTGGTGTAGGGTCTCCTGATTGGGTGGGTGGGTGGGGTTTGACTAGATGACCTACAAGGTCCCTTCCAACTCTGCTAATCTAAGTCAAATCTAAGGTCTCTCCAGCCTTTGAGTCTATAGGAAAGGGGTCGGCATGCCTCCCATAAGGCCACAGTCTGCCCCCACCCCCTGAAAAAAAAAATCCACCTAAGGGGAGATGGGAGGTAGACTCTAGAACAGAGATCTCCAAACTTGGCAACTTTAAGACTTGTGGACTTCAACTCCCAGAATTCCTGAGCTAACGTGAACTGGAGGAGCAATTCTAGGAGTTGAAGTCCACAAGTCTTAAAGTTGCCAACTTTGAAGACCTCTGGTGTAGGGCCTCCTGCTTGGGCGGGGGGTTGGACTAGATGACCTACAAGGTCCCTTCCAACTCTGTTAATCTAAGTCAAATCTAAGGTCTCTCCAGCCTGTTGAGTCCACCGGAAGGGGTCGGCATGCCTCCCATAGGGCCACAGTCTACCCTACCCCCCACCCCATGAAAAAAAGGTTTGGGAGGGGGAAGGGGTCTCGGGTAGGCTCTAGAACAGGAGTCGCCAACCTTTTGGACCTCGGGGACCACCAAACTCATAATTTTAAATCCCACGGACCAGAGACCCTGGGAAAATCTCAAAAAAAACCCAAAAAAAACTCTGCAGGAAAATTCCCCACCTCATTTTCCTACCGATCTATCCTTCTTTATTTGGGATCACAGGATACCATCTCTGGCTCCGTTCTCAGGGGGAGAAAGAGAATGAGAGAGAGAGACTTTTGGCTTCATGCAAGGAAAACAGCAGAAGCAGCAGAAGCCTTTTTTTTTTTTTTCTCTCCCCCAAACTCCGCCATGAATGAATCTCGGTGAGACTTGTGCCGGGGCAGCCTCTTGGAGCAGGAGGCCTTGCAGGGTCCCAAAGACTCATTTCTGGTGGAATTTGGGGGAGAGAAAGAAAGACTTTGGCTGTTTTCCTTGCGCGCAGCCAAAAGCAGAAGAAGAAAGAAGCGGAAAGAAGCAGCCGGTGGCCAGGGAAGTTCCCCCTCCCTCTTCGTCCTTTCCTCCCTCCCCTCACTATCTCCTGTTGTTCGCAATGCCAGCGATGCACAGCCACAGGATTGCTTGCGTGGGGTGGTGCTTTTGGGGTGACATTTCTAGGAGGACCACCCAAATTTTCTCCTGGTTGGCGACCCTTACTCTAGAACGGGGGTCTCCAAATTTGGCCCACTTTAAGTACTTGTGGACTTCAACTCCCAGAATTCCTGAGCTAACGTGAACTGGAGGAGGAATTCTGGGAGTTGGAAGTCCACAAGTCTTGAAGGTGTCAAGTTTGAAGGCCCCTGCTGTAGAAAAAGTGCAGAGAAGAGCAACCAGGATGATGAGAGGACCGGAGACTAAAACATACGACGAACGGTTGCAGGAACTGGGCCTGGCTAGTCTAGGGAAGAGAAGGACCAGGGGAGACAGGAAAGCGGGATATTCCAATATTTGAGGGGCTGACCCAAAAGGAGGAAGGGGTCAAGCTATTTTCCAAAGCCCCCCCGAAGGCCAGACAAGGAATAATGGATGGAAACTGATCGAGGAGAGATTCATCCGGGAAATAAGGATAAATTTTCTGACAGTGAGAACAATCAACCCATGGAACCGAAGTTGCCTTCAGAAGTTACGGCAGCGTCATCCCTGGAAGCTTTCAAGAAGAGATTGGACTGCCATTTGTCAGAAATGGTGTAGGGTCTCCCGCTTGGCTGGGGGTGTGGGTTGGACTAGATGACCTACAAGGTCCCTTCCAATTCTGATTATTACTCCCCAGCACCTGAAGGCTTAATAATAATTTTTTAAAAAAAGTTAGAGTGGGTGGAAAAGGGCAAATTAACTAGGGAACTAAAAGGGAAGGCAGACATGGAAAACAACGCGATATGGGAAACATGGTATATTTGGATGGACGATACCTATAAGAATAGAACATGTAAATAAATAATGTTTATAATAGATACGAGGGTATGAAAGTATTGCGTATTGTAAGTTTAGACAGGAGACATAAACTTATATATAATGTTGCAGCGCTATTGAATAAGTATTGGTTTATTATGTATAAATGGAAAAAAAACTCAATACAGCATTTTTTTTTTATAAAAAAGAAGAGATTGGGCAGAAATGGTGCAGGCAGGGTTTCCTGCTTGGGCGGGGTGGGAGGTGGGGGTGGGCTAGATGACCTACAAGGTCCCTTCCCTCTCTGTTAATCTGCCTGCTGAGCGAGGGAGGGAGGGAGGGAGCGGGCGGGGCCCGGAGGACTTGTTGGCAGAAGTATCATCCCACCTCGGGGTGGGGGGGGTTGACTCCTCCCCTTGACTGCTTCCCCCCCCCCACAGCAACCCCCCCCCAGGCCCGTGAGCGCGGCGTGGGGGCGTCGGCTGGTCAAAACGTTCACCAGCCCCCCAAGAAAAGGGAGCCCAGGCTGGATCCCGGACGGATCTTGTTCTTCTCGCCTAGGGAAAGCGAAAGGGCCGGGTTGGAATTTTTATTTTTATTTTATTTTATTTTTGTTTTCTTTTCTCCCCAGCCCTCGGGCGGTGGCTGCGTTCCCACGGAAAAGTTTGCCCAACTCGGGGAAAGGGGTTGTTGGCGTGCCGACGGCCTGAACGCGCCGCGGGCCTGCCCGCCACCCAAGGCCTAGATTCGCACGAGGCAAGAGAACTGAGGGTCAGAAATAGGGTAGGGGCAGGAGGTGGGCGGGGGGCTGGACTAGATGACCTCCAAGGCCCCTTTCCGACTCCGCGAATCTGTCAATCTGTCCCGCTTGCCTGGTTCTTCCCCTCCCCCCGTTGCTTGGAGTTGCCACAGGAAGCCACGGAAAGCCACACACACACACACACACACACACACACACACACACACACACTCTTTCTCTCCTTTCTTAGAATAGCCGGCCGTGTGAATTCCACCCCACTTACCCACCCGCTAACCTTCCCACGGACCGTGGGCGCGGGGGTGGGTGGGTGGGAGGTGGGGGAGGGCGGAGAAAACCGGTTCCCCTCCCCCGCTCCCGACTTTTGCGAACTCGGGAAACAGCGGGAGGGGCGGGACGGGGAAGCGGGCAGAGATAACGCATCAGGGATCCTCAGAGTTGGAAGGGACCTTGGAGGTCATCTAGTCCAACCCCAAGCGGAGGACCCTACCCCTTTTCTGACCGACGCCCGTCCAAAATCTCTCCTTCAAAGGCTCAAAGGATTCACCTGCTCTTTTTGCCGAGGGAGGGAAGGAAGGGGGGGGCGGGGGAGGAAGTTACAGCCTCGGCTTCTTTTCCTTCCCACCGACGACCCCCCCCCAGGATCCAACTTCTCTTCCCCCCCCCCCGTCCCCGGAAAAGCCCCCCCCCCCCCCCGCCCCGCGCCCTTACCTCTCCCGAGTTCAGCCTGGGCCAGGAGCATTAGCGCCAGGAGCCGCGCCAGCCCCACCGAGGCCCCCGCTCCGTTGCCTTGGACAGCCATGCAGAGTCGTTGCAGAGTCGTTGCAGAGTCGCCCAGACTGAAAGTGGAAGCGACGTGTGTCCCGCGGGGGAATTTAGCCTCAGCCGTCGGGCTGGCCCGGGGGAGGGCGAGGGGGGGGGGCGGCCGCGCCCGCTCGGCGACCAATCAGAAAATCGAGCCGGGGTGACGTCGTTTGTCGCCGGCAAAGGAAGGCCGGCAGGTGGACGGACCCGGAGATAGAGCCCAGCCGAGCTCTGCAAGCTTTGCAGCCTGCAGCAGTTTCCGGTCCCGGCTTGTGTGGGGGGCTGCTGCTGGATTGCTCCCCACGACCCTCAAGACGGACGGAGGTGGGTTTACTCTTCCCAAGGCCAAATGGAGCGGAGGGGAGGGTGCTGGAGTCTGATTCAACCCATCAATCGGAGTAGAGCTTGGAAGGGGCCCTGGAGGTCGTCTAGTCCAACCCCCCACCCTTGCTCAAAACGGGAGACCCTATTATATACCATTCCAGACAGGGAGCTGTCCAGTCCTGAAAGAAAAGAAAATAAACACCTCCAAATGACAAACGGCAGTCCAATCTCTTCTTGAAAGCCTCAAGTGATGGTGTTCCCACAACTTCTGAAAGCAACTTCCGTTCCATGGGTGGATTGCTCTCACTGTCAGAAAGTTTCTCCTTATTTCTAGGTTGAATCTCTCCTTGTACAGTTTCCATCCATTATTCCTTGTCTTGGCCTACAGGCGCTTTAGAAAGTCGCTTGTCCCCTTCCTCCCTGTGGCAGCCCCTCAAATATTGGAAGATGTTATCATGTCTCCCCTGGTCCTCCTGTTCACTAGACCAGCCACGCCCAGTTCCTACAACCGTTTGTCATATGTTTTAGCCTCCAGTCCCCTCATCATCCAGGTTGCTCTTCTCTGTACTTTTTCTAGAGTCTCAACATCTTTTTTTTATAATGTGAACAAAAGTGGATGCAGTACTCTAGGTGTGGTCTTACTAAGGCTTTTTAGAGTGGTATTAGGACCTCCCTTGATCTTGATTGTATACCCCTGTTAATACATTTAGGATTGTATTAGCTTTTTTGAGAATAGAATAGAATAGAATAGAATAGAATAGAATAGAATAGAATAGAATAGAATA